CTAATATGATTAAAATGCAGCTCCCTGTCCTGGGGTACTGACAAATCCTCAAATCTACAGGCCTTCAAAACCACGTTGCCGTCGCCACTGCTGAAGAAGTAATTCACTTTGCAAACGCGGCAGCGGCGACAGGCGATGCTCACAGATCCCAACTAACGGAGGTTTCTTTAACTGAAGTTTGAACTCAGCCCTCCTTGTGATTCTGTAATTTGAATATCATTTTCACAAACCTTGCAAGATGCAGATGAATGAGAGATTCCTGGCTTTGAGTCAAATGCTGCAGTAATTAAATGTTTATAAAACACTTTACGCATGCGAAGTGCTATTATCATAGACAAGAAACCAATAGACTATGGCAGATTGGAGCCGGATTTTGAGGCACACCAGTGAACACAGCTCGTTTCTCCTGCTACATCCCTCTTTTAGAGATGCTAACGGAGGTTTATGGAGAACGTTACCAGGTTCCTTTTATTACAACCAGAATAAGTCAAACCAGAATTGCTTTCTTTCAGTGAACATGTGCAATTCAAAAGTTTTTCCCTCTGTAATAAATATCCAAGTAGAGGGCCAGCTTGCTGTTTATCTCTACCCCTAGGGAAACGAGAAATTGCTGCTACTTCTGATCTCTCACATAAAACTGAAGAGGTTCCACCTGTTACAGGTTTCTAACACCATCTGCTGTTTAAAAATAAGACAGCATTTGAGCTAAGCAGCGCACGAGGGTTTGTACTTGTTTGATAAACCAGAAGTGACACCAGCTAATCTAGAAGGTTTCTGTAACTGGCACGTTTCACTTTTGTTCTTTCACGCCCTGAACGTATTTCGACCTGATCTTAATTATGAACTGAATTATTTCTTTGCCACAAGACCCGGAAAGCCAACGGGCAGCAGCTGAGAGCCAGGTCCACACCACAAAACTTAAATCTTCATCCGCAGTCGCGGGACCCCCATCCATCTTTTCAGTACTGAAGCAGATTTTGAAGCGGTGTCGTTCCACTCCAAAGCTTGGCCCAGAGAACCTACTTAAGAACTTTCCTTAGGAGAGAGCCATAGACTTCACGGGGTATGAGGAACTCAAAGAAAATCGTTCTTTCCGTTAAAAATAAGATTATTTACCTTCTGCTGTCTCACACTGCTGCCTGTATGACAGGATAAATACTCTAACCAAGGATTCTTTTACTGCTTCCTCATTGAACGTGATACAAACTTTTGTCCCAGGAAAAACAACCGAGCCCTGGCGTTCATTACACGTAGAAATCGAAGGACTCGCCACCAATGCTCATAGGTTTTGTTGCACGTGTTAAAAAGCAGGGAGGAATTCTTAACAATGACAACAATTTTTCTAAGGAAAAAAAAAAGCGTCTTCTCCAAACGGGTCCCTACGGCGCCCAGCCATTCACCCCGAGACAATGCAGCGGTTTTATCGCCGCAGGTTTCAACAGAAAAGCACCCAAAATCTTCAAGTCTAATACCAAACAGAGGATGCAGCTATGCGATCCTTCTCTAGTCGTATCACGTCAGCCCGTTTACAGCATCACCCTCCATATTTAACATTTATAACCCCCTCCACACACAGCATTTAAAGAGTCAGTGGCTCCTTTTGTAAGCGATCAGCTTCTTACCCCAGCACTTTACATGCACTTCGTGACAAAAGGGACCTTTTACATGTCAATTTATTTTCAGACAAGCATATCTGAAAGGGAGTTTCTCTCCAGAGTAGAATTAGTATTAATGGCAGGTGTTCCAGTGTAACACAAAAGGAGGAAGGCAGCAAGTTAGCTGAGCTTAAGTAGTAAGACAGCTTGATGTTTTAATAACCGGAGGCAAGAACGTGGAGTGGCAGCGGACCTCCAGCTTTCATAGCATGAATGAAGGTTTTATTCAGAGCCCCCTATGTACTCGCAAAAGAAGACCTTGAAATATTTTAAATGTTCTCTCTGCGTTAAAAGAGGGATTAAATTGTTGAATATTACATGAAAGCGCAGCGTCCGCCCCCCCCCACACACACACTTGCGGTCACCGAGTATTTCCGAACCCTCCGCGTTCTTGGGAAGGCGGCAGTGGCTGCCACGAGGAGGTGGTGGCACCCAGGAGGCCACCGGCTGCACACACAGTTCACTGTCCACAAATGGCAAAAGACGCAGGAAAAGGAATTACGTGAACTAACGTGAAGGTGGGGACTTGAAGAGGGTATTTGCATTAGTCGGACGGAAAGTTAACAAGCAGATTTGGTTGCTCAGTGAAGTTTCACTAAGAAAAACAAAGAAAGAGATGACCGCTGAGAAAGTTACTGGCCTTCAGTTTTAAAGACAGCCTAAATAACCATGATGGGAATATTTTTCAGGCCAAAACACATTTATTTATGCTCCGGTTGATTTGACAGAGGTCAGTGCCACATCATTAAGAGGAAGGCACGACTATGTTACACAGTGGGAAAAGGAAAACAGCCTCTCAGCTGGGTCGACCTCTTTTACAACAGAAAACGGTGCTGATTTACACCCCAAAATAGGAAAGTTTAACCTTTCTTATACAGAAGCTGTATTATATAAAGAGAGCTGCTCAATATTATTTTCAGGCTCCTTGTATATGGATTAACACGCTATTTCCACACAGGTTAATTCCAAGTAGACTCAGCTATTAGAGGCTGGATTCCGGGATTTCTGCTCCCTTGAGCTTTCATATAGACGTACAGGACAAAATCTTAAAGGTCAAGCCGGCTACGAAACACCTGAAATAACACAAGCAGTTTTCCTTGTAAAGATTTCCTTATGTATGAAAGTTAAATACATTTTTGTCCCTTTTCAAATCAAGACAAAGGTAAGCTGTATATCCTCTTTGTCCCAAGTTAAAGCTTGGGAGAGTTAAAGACCTCAAACGCTTGTGAGAGCGGATCATTTGGTCTTCTCTAAGACACCTACTGGCTCCCCCCAACAGGCATTAGAGACCCAGCCTGACCCAGGCCCAACTTTCACCTGAAATAATGCAATTTCAGTTAAGATGACGGCAGTTGGTCCCAACTCTATTTTGGCAAAGGTTTAATACTGTCAGGACAAAACCAGAAAGGGAAGGAGGGGGCCCACCCGACCCGTTACAAACACCTACGGCTCTCATACACAGAAAGATCAACAAGTCCGTTTTTATTGAGGACTGGAATTAAAAAAGTAACAGCACTTGGTTGATTTGGATCTAAAAATCAAGACTTGTTTTTACTTATGGAAGGATCACTCAAAACAACTTGGTTAAAAGCACCCCAGAAAGCAAGGCGTAGCCCTTCGTGTTCACTCTGTTCTCCAAAGTGACGGAGGTCCCAGAAGCTACAGCTGCACCAAACACAAAGTTCCTCTGATTGAAGACCCCAGCGAGGCGGAGGGGTTTGACGCGCCGGGTGTCATCCCATGGCCAGGCAGAGTCCGCAGCAACCGCGGGCTGCTCTCCCTGTGCCCACAGAGCTCTGCACCCGGTTGTCCTACGCATCTTCGAGTTGTCACTAGTTGGCCTCACACCAGCACCATTACAGGGAGGATTAAGCAAAGGTTGTAATGTTTTTCCTGACTGATACTTGAAAACATTTACAATTTCATACAAACAAGCCAGCTACCATCCAAGCAGGGCGAAGGTTTGGTTTAAGACCCATCCTGAGGGTCCGTACTGTTGAGAGGTTCACAGTGAGGGGCGACCACCACCAACACGTCCAACCCCATCCACCGTTTCAGGCCCCACCCTTTCCGACGTAGGAAATATTCTGAAAAACCGTCAAAGTGTCTGCTTCAATCCCGACAGCGCCCAACGGGACTGACCCCAACACCAGAAAGAAGCTCTTTAAAATTAGTTGTTTCAGTTACCTAAAATTTGCACACCTTTTCACCGGCGCGAGAGCTACTGCACAGCGGTAGGAAACATAAGGCAGGTTCATTGGCACCAATGCAAACACCGTGCCAGAGGAGAAAGCAAGTATTTTTAAGGAAGGCATTTTGCGTGGTGGAGCGTCCCCCTCCCCAGCTATCAGCGAAACATTAAATCCAGTTCTGCTGGGGGTCGGTGGCGAAACCAGCGAGGAGATCCAGTGTGCACTGGCACTGGCCTCCTCCTCTCAGCGGCACTGGACACTAGGGCAGTACTTGGAATAAATATAGAAAAAAATCGTGACTATTTCAGCTTCTCACTGGCTGCTCCAGGGAGTAAAACAGGACCTGCCTGGGTGAGGGTAGAGGAGGAGAGCGCTGCACATCTCAGAGAAATTTTTTTTATGGAATTCTCCGTTTTAGAGTCAGCTGGGACTAAGGAAAAGGGAAAAGCAAAAAAGAAAGTTTCCCCTCTCGTTATACGATCAGCCAAAAGCAGCGGAAATTCACGTGAGAACCTTTGCTGGCTTCAATCGCATCCTTGAGCACGTGAGTGTTTGCAGTCCCCGTGGCTCTCCTGCTCCTCCCGAGAAACAGCCACCACCGAACCAGGGAGCTCCAGCAATTCCCTGCAAGTCAGAATGGGACGGGAATTTATGTCTAGCACGGTTTGCCTCCAAGTGTTCCTTTCTACTAGCACTAAAATGTCCTGAGAATAAGAAGTTCCCCTCTGCAGCCTGCAGCCTGCCCCCGTTCCTGTTGACTACTGCCTCATTCCATAGCTGGTTCTAATTACTTCCCACTGCAAAGTGAGGTATTGCACCTGAGAGAAGGTGGCATAATCTGCAGCCCTACTGCAGTACTGCTGGTTTTCCCATCACAGGGCCAGATGAAAAAGCTTTGCAGGTCTCCCAAAAGGCAGGCAAAAATCATTATCCCCGTACGACGTGGGGAAACGACCGGGGTCGCTTATCCTGCAGCTAAAAGTCAGTCAGTAAAAAAACATCAACTGAATGACACATTTATTGTACAATTCAGAAGGAAACCCTGAGTTACCAGCTGTAGAACAAAGTTAAATTAAAAAAAAAGGATGGTTTGTTTCATAGGTTCCTGCTGAAGGAAAGGAAAACCAAAAATGGTGAAAGCAGCAGCCAGAGCCAGCCCAAAGCCTCCGCCTTGCCGAGGCGAAGGTTCCTTTGTCATCTCAAACTGCGCGGGTGACAAACTCCCCAGGGAGTGATGGGGAGAACACGAAGATGGGAGGGCAGAGGGAAGGAATGAGACAAACCTAGCAGGTATTCTGGACAGCCGAGCGTCTAAGGGGGTGTTCAGAAAACCCGTGGTTTATTTTGTTCAGAGAACTGCCGTCTGGGCTGGGGGAGGGCCGGAGAGAGGAAAAAACGGAGTCTGAAAAATCAACCCTACACTCGAACACACATGCACAAAAAGTGAAGCGAAGGGGATGGGAGAGAAGTCCTTTACAAACACAAGTGCTGCTGGCTAGGAGTCTGCGGGGTTGGCTTTGGGAAGGGCATCCAAAGGTTCAAGGGAGGAAAAACCCCAAAGCCTAAACCCCAAACGTTACGCAGTCTTCCAGCTGCAATGGCCTTGGAGAGGATCAATGCTGAGAAATGATGTAGCTACACCAAATATCTGGCCCTACACAGGAAAGGGTGAATCAGAGCTGCTTTTTAGTGCCACTTGACATCAGTTATACATTCTAGTTCTCATATACACAGAGGGGTGTCTTTAAAAATCGACAATTTACACTTCAAAAAAGTTTTACAGTGAAGTTCTCTCAGCAAAGATCAGTCCACACAGGGAGGAGCCAGTCTTTCAGAAACAGAAAGGCACTTGGCCTTTTGAGAAGAAGTCCTCGAGGGAGCTCCTGTGCAGGCATTGACCGCCCGATCTCCTGCCCCCCCGTCTTCAGTAGGTGTGCAAAGTCTGGTGTGACTGCACCGCACCGTGCAGCTGCAGACCGCCCCAGCTTCACAGTGTGGTGGAAGGAAGTTTCTTCACCCGCCTCTGTGCCAGAATGGAGGATTCGATGGGCTTCAGCTGGGGGCTTGGCTTGGAGCTGTTCAGTGCAGAGTACGTGGCAGCCATCGCCCCCTTGGAGAGAAGGCACGAGAAGTCATTTAGATGTAGAAGAGGTATTTCAGACTCACGGCTTTACAAGATGAGGGACCAGAGTAGCCAGACCCACAAACAAAGCCAGAAGGACTTTCTTTTTTCTTTTAAATCTCCCTCCCGTACTGACACGCAGGCTTTCCTGCCAAAAAACCAGCTTGCCTTGTATTGCCTCCCCTGGCCCACACCTCTCCAACCTTCCATCCTGCCTTGCCCACACCACCATCACCCCACCCGGGCCGCTGCTTTCCAAAGAGCCCAAGGTACGTGAGGAACCAGCTGAAGGCCCAGCCCAGACTTTGCACCTTTACAAGCTGAACGTCCTGGTGATTCAGTTGGCTCTGGGGTAAGCTGTCCTTCTGGGTTATCCACGGATGCTGCAGGACCTGCTTGGCTGTTAGGCGCTGGTGAGGATCTACGTGAAGCATCTTTGATACCAGATCCTAAGGGCATCGTTTGGAAAGTTAGACTTTAGAAGACTTCATACTTTAAAACACAAAAGTCCACCCCCAAATTGGGATTTAAATTCAGAGGCCAAGTTTAAAGTCCCCAGACATCAATCTCCTTTTGTATAAAATATGTTTTCGGTAGGCCTGGGAGGTGTAACACAGCAGCAAACCCCGCATGGGTCAAGCACGAGGTTGGCGTTGCACGCAAATATTCACAGCCAGAGCTAAAACGAAGCAGGGAGAGGCACGCTGCTGAGCTGCTACGGGGGAGATACGCACGGGGTAGGAGCTACACTGCTGGTTTTCTCCTCCCTCTTCTGCCCTCCCTCCCCAACCTGCTTTAAACTTGCCTCACGGCAACTGGCCGTGCTTGACCTCAACCCTTTAATGTAACGCAGATGAATATCAAACCGTACCTTGGCCATGTCAGAAATAGTGTCCCAATTGCCCCCGCCGACGGAGAACTTCCCCCCGCCTATCCGGGTCAGGATCTCTTCTGGAGTGTCACTGGGACCGTTTGCAAACGGAGTGCAGCTGGGGAGAGAAGAGAGAGCATTTGATTTACTGTCCTGTAACCCAGCCAGGGACCGCCTCCAGGTAGCAGCAACCGACGAGGAGGGGGTCCAGCTGCCACCGCAGAGCACGTCTGAGAGCAAGGTGGTCACAGCCCCAGCTGTTGCCTTCCAGACAGAGGCGCTTACCCTGCGAGCATCGTATACAGGAGAACTCCCAGGCTCCAGATGTCGCAGCCCTCGTCGTAGCCTTGGCGTTTTAGTACCTGAACAGAATAAGCAAAGGAAAAAAAAGCGTGTTCGGTTCTTCTTGTTGAGCTCACTTCAGCTTGTGAAGAGCGGCTTCACCCCTGGGTGCAGTCTGGATGCGAAGCTCCTAGAGCCCTACTGAACAGCAAAGTCTTGGACTAAAGATCAGGGATTCGAATCAGATTTCGGTTTCATGGAAGAGAGGAACCCCCCAGGCACATCAAAACGACAAGTGAGAAAGAAGCCATGTTCCAGTGCGGTGACACTGCACGCATGCTGCATTGCGTGCCTGCTCTTTTTCTTTCTTCTGCGCCAAGACAACCGAGTGGAAAATCATCCCACCTCTTTTAACAGGTCAGTTAATCAGGAAGGGAAGCAGCCTAGAAAATCACTGGGATTTTCAGGGAGTCTCAGTACCCTAAGCAGATCCCCTCATAAGGACAGTACAAGCTGGAGGACCGTACTTGAGATCCCCTGCTTGTTCATTACGACAAGTGGTATTTCTGTAGTTACTTCTTCCAGGACGGAGTATGCCAGAGCAGGCTGGAGTTCGGAACAGGGCAGACCTACCTGTGCCGAGTGAGAGCACAGGCTAGGGGAGGGACGTGAGAGCTACCGAAGGGTCTCGGGTCAGTAAGGTGCTTACCTCGGGTGCCACAAAGTTTGCTGTGTAACAGGGAGTCATGAGAAGGCCATTCTCAGCCCTCAGCTGCTTGGCAAAGCCGAAGTCACAAATGCGAATGCTTTCGGGGTTTCCTGACTCATCCACGTAGAGAATATTGCTGGGTTTCAAGTCCCTGTGAACCACCTGTGGAGCAAAGAAAGTGCCATTCTCATACCCCTGGAAGACAAAGGGCTGAAGCTGCATCAGGACACTCAACCCCTGCCCTGGCCCCACATCTGGCTTGCCAAGACAGCAACACCAGTAAGAAATAATAGTCCTGACAGGCACAGTTACTCCCCGGAGGAGAGGGAGCCTACTGCAATGCCAGACAGCTTCCCAGGAAAACAGACGTAACCATACTCACCCCTTGGGAATGCAGATACTCCACCGTTTTACAGATCGTGTGCAGGACCGAACTGGCTTCCCTCTCTGAGAAAAATTTCTGCCTGAGGATTTTATCCAGCAGCTCCCCTCCCCTCATCAGCTCAGTCACCAGATACACGTACTTCCCATCATCATACACCTACCAAAGCAAGTATGGAGGGGTTAACCAAAAAGCGCTTCCGGAGCTTCCCTTTTGTACTTCTACCACCAAGGAGCAGACAGAAATCAGCAACGCAGAGGTGGGGCTGGGGATGCTTCCCCACCCCAGAGCGATACATTGAGCAGGGCCATTGGGTTGCCCGTGCTGGAGCTGCATTGTTCCCCCCCCCAGACCAGTCTGCACTTCCTAAACCAAAATACAGGAGAAGTCATTCAAGTTACACTCACATCTTTCAAGGTGATGATGTTGGGATGCTGTCCATATCGCAGGAGGATTTCTATTTCCTCAGAAGGGTCTCGCTTGCTCTTGTCAATAACCTGCAAGAGTATGGATAAGCATTAGCCACAACGGGGTGGGAAAGGGGCCAAGACAAAGCAAACAAGCTGAGTGTTTGGAGCCCTGCAGAGATCCTGCACCATAGCCGTTCCCTGTCCCTGCCCTCTTTAGCAATAAGCTCTAGAAATCCCCTCGCTGCTTCACCGGTTCTGCGTCCCCAAACCCCAACGTTTTATGTCTGGCTTATTTGTTAAGAGCTGACATAGCCACGGCAAACTTTGCAAAGAAAGGTGAGATACTGTCCTCCCCCTGACAGAGGAGAACACTGCTTCCCCGCTATTCCTACATAAGAAAGCTTGTGCAGTTATGTGCACGGCAGCACAGAAATTGTCCATTTAGGCCCTACGCAAGCAGGGAAAGCGATTTCATTCCTGGATGTTATTTTGGTCATTGTGGGGACGAACAGAAATCTAACGGGGGAGTTCAGTTCACATGGCAAATCTCAGACCTTGACTGCGTATTCCATGTTGGTTGCTTTATGAATGCAGCGTTTACACACTGAGTAGGAGCCGACGCCGATTGCCTCCTTCACCACGTAGCCGTCGTTGAACTGGACATTCTTGCCGTGCAGCTGCTGCAAGAGGAGAGCGGAGAGTTGATGAGCTGGGAGGGTTCAGGGAAAGGTTTGTGCAACGTGATGAGTTAACTGCAACACAGAGCGAGCTGACAGACTGCTGTCTGCTACATCCCACAGCTTCTCCTCCCGGCTGGGGAGAGGGAGGAGAGGAGAACAAGGCAGATATAGGCCAGTGGGCTAACACTATCTGCACCTAGCATGGTGCATTTCGGTGGCACCTTTCAACCCACGGGCATTTACACGCACTTCCCGCTAGCCCGGGTCCACCTGGGGAGAGGAAAGCAAAGAGACTCGCATTGCCCTGCCAACCTTTGCACGTGACAGTCAATAGACGTGAAGGAACAACAGGATGCAAGAATTCAAAACAGAACGGCACTGCCTCAGGCTTCCCGTTAGCTCTGCTCCAGATGGTACAGAGGTCCCGCAGACCCACTCCGGAGTATTACTGCAGCTTCAAACAGTTGTTCCTCTGTCCCCACTTCTTACCTGTACCACCGAATGTAGAGGCGACTGGGCAGGTTTCACCTTGCCGTCTTCCATCAATCCGGTCGCCACAAAACTGAAGCCTCGGAAGAGCTGATGGGCCCCAGCGCTAGGGGGGATGCCTGGGGAATCTGCAACAGGAGTCGAGAGACAACTAGAAGAGGGCTAGCCCTGCGGAAGCAGAAGCCTTCCCCTTGCTCCCCAGGAGCTGTGGCTCCTCTTTAGTTTATTCAAGACAAGAGCCACACCACGCAGCACCGACCTTACCCCTAACACCCCACATATCTATGGCTGGGCCACCTCCTCAGTCCTGCAACCGTCTGGAGCTGGCAGGACTAGCAGGAGGCAAACCTCGCCCTGCTGGCACCGGCAAACCGGTATTAAGCCATACAGTATCATTTCACGCAGGAAACTTTGGCTTTGCGTGAATTCATACAAACCTTTTGGTGTACGCGATGTAAATTCTGTGTCAAAATAAAAGGTGTCATCTGGCTGGCCTACTGCAGGCTTGAACGGTGGTTTGATTTCCCTGCGGTACAGCTTCTGCAAAACAGAGACAGCTCAAAAGTGCTCCGACAGGTCAACGCTCTCGCACACGAGAGAGCTTGCTAGGAATGAGAGGCCAAGAAGAGATTTTGTGAAACTGGAAACAGCTCTGTGGCTTAGCATTTAACTACAGCTCAGCAGTCTGAGGGAAGACTTCTTGGCCAGTGGGGTGCTTTTGAGTCAGTTTGTGGAGAAATACTACAAGTTCTACCATATATTAAATCAAGAAAAAAAAAAAGTGTTCTATATGTAATCTAGCCCCACTCCAGAAGCAATATCTATAAAGTGTTGACCTCGCCAGGCTCTTCCACCTCCTCCTAACTCCCATCTGGGCTTTGCTGACACAGAGCTGCCCAGGGGCAGCCGGAGGAGATGCCCTAGGAGGACATTCGTATCCCAGCACTCCCGCAAGCATCCTTTTTAAATTGCTTCTTGAAGGAAACATTTGAAATAAGCTTTACTAGCATTGCTGGAGGTTCAGTCCAGCAGCTTGCTGGGTGCCTCGAAAGCAGTAAACGACCGATCTTCAAAATCCCTTACCAAGTAAGGGAAAACAGGGGAGAACCAAAATTACATGGTAAAGCAGGGAGTTGGCCAGAAGCAACTGGGAAACGCCGGTTCAGTTATCGCCCTGCTTCTCTGTACAAAACAAGGTATTTCCTCGCCAGAACTGTTTCCCCGAGTCCTTCCCACTTTGTGCAAGACAACCCTTGTTGCGCCAAACCCCAATTAAAACCTGCACTTTACCGTTGAGAGATGAGTAAACTCAAACCAAAGTGAGATCATGGGCAACTCAGGTATGAAACAGTTATTCACGTGACAAACAGAATTTTAGTTTCGGGAAGGATTATTGGAACAGATGGAAACAGGGACTGGTAGCTCTCCCATAGCTGGTTCAGTCTGCAAGCATCATGACGGTGCTATTACTGCAGCCAGCAGAACTGCATCACCGGTGCGGGGTGGTGTAGAAGTTTGCTCTTGTATTACTGATACTCACATTCCAGTCGATGGTAGAGTAGAAAGGATGGCGCTTGATCTCTTCCGCCCCGTCTGGTCCAGAACCTGAAAGGTGCACCCGTGGAGTGCGTTGCGTTAAACCACCGACAAAACGAAGGCTACCATGTATGCGACACAGCCAGGTATTATGGGGAACCTGGCTGTAATTAAACGAGCCCATTAACCGAGCACAAGTGTGAACATGCTGCTGACCCACGAGGATGTGAGAGGCCCCGATACAGCATCAGGTGTACTCAGAAACCAAAAAAATATCTTACCTAATCTGTTGGCTGGATTCCTTTTGAAAAGGGCTCGCAGGAGGCTCTGTGCTTCAGAGCTCAGGAACTGCGGCATGCCCAGCTTTGCTCTGGAGAGGAAGTTATGCAATCAGCTGCAGGTTTAAAGAAGTCAACCCACAACCCAACTGCAGCACCTCCACCCCCGAAAGCACAATCATCTGTTTGGCATTTACACTGCACCCTCCGAGCTAACTGTTGATACAAAACCGCTTGCCAAATGCTGCCATTAAGTTGTGAGAACCCCCAAATTGCAACACGCTCGGAGAAAGAGCAGAAGCTCGCCCCCTGTACATACATGAAAGAGAAACTCCTCTTACTTGAGGATGAGGGTCATGGTCTCCTTACGATCCTTCCCCTGGAAGGGCAGCGAGCCGGTGAGCATTTCAAACTGGGAGGGAAAGAGAAGAAGGGGAGGTCACACGTCTGAGCAAGTCTGAGGGTTGCACAGATCCCACCGCACCTTCATCTGGGAGCTCGCCAAAGCTAGCGAAAAGCTTGCGAGCGATCAAAAGCCTAGCTCTACAAAAGATCGCAGACATCATACTTTCTCAGAAGGAGCTTGGTTCTCGAGGTCTGCAGCGGGAACATGTTCAAACCCGCGCCTGCTCCTGCGGGAGCCCCCGGATTCAGCACCCGCCAGATGGTGGCACCAGATCTGCACAGACACTGACATCCCAGTGCCGGGGCCGACACAGACACCCCCACGCACCCCACGCTGCGCACCCAGACACCGACATCCCAGTGCTGGGGCCGACACGGACACCCCCACGCACCCCACGCTGCGCACCCCACGCTCCACACCCCAGCGCTCGCTGGGACAACAGCCTCAGGAGCTCTGCCTCCCCCGAGAAACACGCGTTCCTGGCTGGATGCCGGGACGGCCCGTTACAGAGCCCTTTCAGGGAGCTTGGAGAACATCCCCAGGTCAGCACATCTGCTAGACGTGCAGAATCACGTAAGGGTGTTTCAGAGCTACCGCTGGCGCAGCTGCTAAGCCAGGCCTCCAAACACGCTGGCTGGGTACATACCATTAACACCCCGTACGACCACCAGTCAGCACTGTGGGAGTGGCCCTGGCGATTCACAACTTCGGGTGCCATATATTCCACCGTCCCACAGAAGGAATAGGCTTTCTTCTCGTGGTCTATAGCCTCCTTACTCAAGCCAAAATCTACACGAGAGAAAAACCGTCAGCATGCACCCACGTGCCCTGAGCAATGACACAGAGCAGAGAGGCCTAAGAGAAGCTCCGTATTTCAAGAACCAACCTTGCCGGAGCACAAGGCTTTTGTGGAGTCCCTTACCTGTGAGTTTGATGTGCCCTTCTTCATCCAAGAGGATGCTACAGCATGAATGGAAAAAAACAAGTTGTTACTGTCTGCAACAAAGGCTGGTGAGAACAAGCACACACAGCAGAGGCTGGTCTGAGATGCTCCCAGAATCCAGAGGAGAAAGTTATCTGTCCCTTCCCCCAGTGCTTCAAGCTCCATCACCGAGACACGAGTGGGACAAAGAGCAGCTCCCTTCTCTCTACGCCCTCAACTTCACATCGAACGAATGACGCACACAGGTTACACCACCTTTGATCCCCCACATCCCCCAGGTAAGAATAACCAAGTCATGCAGCTGGTATGCGTCTCTGCAGAGGCCCAGCCTGGTGCCTTTTCCCTCCGAAGGCTCTCAATTGCTTAAAGCTGGAGCCCGGAGACTGCCAAGGATTACTGCTCAGACATGTGGTGCACACATGCTGCCTCCGCAGCACTCCTGGCCGTAACTGCTGATCTGAGGAGCAAGAGCCTTGTCGCTTGGCACTGCCGCCTTCCATCTGGCTGGCCTACGGGCATCGTTCAGCTTTGCCTTCGTGGAAGAAGGCTACGCCATTTGCTGACTACAGGCTTGGGACTGAGCTGAAGGACTCGGTTCCCTGCCTCAGCTGTGCCACACGTACTTCTCCGGTTTGAGATCCCTGTATATGATTCCCAGGCTGTGCAAATGATCGAGCCCCAGAGCCAGCTCTGCTAGGTAGAACTTCACGTCCTCCTCGGTGAACATGACCTGCAGGAAGGGAGAGGAAGCGGACAGGCGCTGGGGTTACAACGCCGGCAGCGGGACCACCTCCGCTGCACCCATGCAAGACCTTTCGCATCCATGTTGCTCCCTTCTGCCCTTTCCTACCTAATTTTCCCAGGCTTCGCCCACCATCCTAAAGTATCAGCTAAGCAGCAACACCAAAAAAACAAATGAGGTTGCTAAGCAGCAGATGGGTTTTTAAAACACTCTTCATTTACGTTAACCAGGTTATGTTCCCAGTTGTCTTCACCTGGCACAACTTCTCGTTACCCCTCCCATTCCTTGCCCTCGCCCTGTCCCAGCGAGGCGACACAACCAGCCAACGCTGCAGCAGAACATGGTTCTCGCCTGTTTTCGTTCTTAACGTGATGCTCAGCAGAAGCTGTCTGCGGAGGTGAGACCTGCCTCCTATGCTGCTGCTTTTCTGCCAGAGGACAGGGTTCCTGAGACGTCCTCTCCTGTTGCCGGCTCTGGGCTAGCAGCAAGCTGGAGGTTGTTTCCACCCCTCTCAGAGACTTTGCAAGGATCAGTCGCTTCTCCAGGCAATTAAGCCCAGATGAACCGAGAGCCTCGGCAACCCACCAAGATGCCAGAGCGTACCCACCTCTTTGGAAAGCCGAGTGAAAAGGTCACCTCCTCTGAGGAAATCCAAGATGAGATACAGCTTCCCCTCCGTCTGGAATGCTGAAACACAAGCCAGAGCGGGAATCAGACCCCTCCGCGGAGGGAAGGCTCCATGGTGTTACATTAATCACTTAAATCCCAATGGCTCCAGTTGTGCAGATGCCCTGCGTGGTTACTAGGTTAAACACAGGTAGGGCTAATTATTTGAGGTAAATGAGATAGCCCGTCCATGATGGTGAAATGGGAGCTCACCAGCAGCACTCTGGCACTGCAGAAAATCCTCATTTTACGGGGCGGTTGGTTCCCTTTCAGCCAGTGATGCCCTACTGAAAGGGCCGTTTTCCCGAGAGAGGCACTGGTCACTTTACAGGGAAAGAAGCTGTCCTCGCCTGCCTCAGAGTCAGAGCATTAATTCTCCCAAACTCTGGCTTGACTAGTTAACTCTGCTTTCTCAATTTCTCCTGATTTAATGTTTTAATCCCAAGGATTTGATGTTTAAACCTCTTCTCCCGGTCTATGCTCCCCCATTCAATAGCTAGAGCGGGCATGGGACCAGAGACCTTTCCAGGAAAGGATTAGTGTTAAGGGGATTGTGAAGGCTCCAGAGCAGCGCAGCCATTGAGGGATACAGACTAGTCCAGGCCTCTTCTCCATTTCAGGTATCTCCAGAAGCCTGTTAGGGACCATGAGAGGCTCTCGGCATCCTCCAAGCAGCCTGCTGCCAGATGCCTCATGCTCACCTACCTGCTCATGGCTGGTGTGCCTGTAGTAGCATCTTTCTTTACTGTGCTTAAAAGCAGTCAGTGTCTGTTCGAGCCTGCAGCCCCTCTCCCAGTGTCCCAACTAGCTCCACACTCACCGTAGTGGAGTTTCACCACAAAGGGATGGTTTACATCAGCCAGGATGTCCCTTTCTATCTTTGTCCTTACTCGATCACGCACTGTGGGAAGAGAGAGGAACAGCTCAGACACAGAAAAAGGCACACAGTACCCCGGTGTCAGCCTTGCTCCCAGCCTTAAGCCCTTTAATACCCGGCAGCTTGAGCCAGATCTTTTCCACCCCCAGCACTGCAACAAGGGTTTTTTATATTTGGAGAGAAAAGGAGGCTGTTTGGCTGAGGTAAAGATACTTCTCTTTCACCCAGATCACCAGCAGTGGCTGCTGTGACATTTCCCCAGCGCTCTTTAGGACATGGAGGATAAGAGCATCGCAGTAAAAGTCTCCTACCTTTCAATGTCGCCTTCTTGAGCACTTTCATGGCATAGAGGTGGTTGCTGTCTGGTGGTGTTATTTTTCTCACCAAGAAAACCTGAGGCAGAAGGGCACCACATTAGCCAAGCGCTAAAGATTAGCAGTAGGAGTTGGATGCCTCCCGACGTGGCAAACCTCACGGTAACCCTAAGAAGCAGCTGGCCACAGGACTGGCAAGTAGTACCTCAAGCTCTCCATGTGAAGCCCATGAGGTTTTCAAGGAAAGTGCTGTGTGTAAACTCCTCTCACCCCCTATCTCCAGCCATTACAGCACTCGTGCTTTTATACTGCGCTTTCCTCCTCTCCCGTCTTCCACACCTCTTGTTCACTCCTGCAGTTCCCGTGGGGCTGTGGCTGATGCCGGGGAGCTGTGACCTGAAGCACTGATACTTCAATGTACCGCAAAGCCTCCTGGTGACTTGCTGGTTCGACAGCCAGATCAACCCCTTACGTTCAGGTGCTGCATCCTCTCTGGATTTTTACCTCCTGTCCTTCCCTGATGTCCCAGACTACCTGGTTTTAGGCAGCTTCAAAAAGACATCACATCTTTCGCATAAAGCCACTGTTGCACTTGCCCAGGCAACAGCACGCAGTCCTGTGCAAGCCCCCACTGTTAGCGCTGGTAACTGATTGACGTGAAGTTGATTTAATGCGTGAGCAGATGGTCTGTAAGAGACCTGGATTATTTACCCATTGAAATAGATAAGAGTTACAGGCTACTTCCTTCCCCCTTCACAGAAGGGAAACTGGACCGTAAACAGGGGCCGAAACCAGATGCACACAGCATCATTTCTGAGAAGAGAGGAACATGCCCGAGTCCTCCAAGTCCTCAGTTCCACTGACAGCTTGGCAGCCAGCTAAGAGAGCTGCAGGAGGTCCCTCTGCCCTGCGCAACACCTGCGTTCACAAGCAGGATACTGCTCCTTTCTCCTGACCATCTGAAAAAAGAATTACAGGGGAGCTTTGGAGATACAGGCTGGCCCTTATTGAGAAGGCATGACTACAGTTGCCTTTCAAGTTAGAAGCAACCATTTGCTAAGTGGGCTCATCAGTCAGATTCTCACGATCTGGTGGGCATCAGGAAAGTGGTTTCGTTGGGGGTAGTCCCTTTTGTCATCAAAATAACTCATCTGGCATGACACATAGGAGGAAGTGAACTCACCTTGCCAAAGGAGCCCTGTCCCAGCACCTTCAGGAGCTCAAACTGTGAAGGATCGGCTTTCTCGGAGCCTTCCTTCACATGGTGCGTGATGTTGATTTCTTTCACAACACCTTCGCCCTGAAAAAGAGGGGACACGGTTGACTGGGAATATACTCCTGAACAAGGGAAAGCAAGCCTTATCGGATTAAGGAACAAGGATTGTAGCTACAGACTCACAGGAACCACATCTGAGAGAACCATAAAAGTCGGCGCTTGTCACACATATCTCCTGGCTTCAACATCTGGAATAAATAAGTGATCCGTCGGCTTGCACCAGGCAGCCTTGTTAAATATCCAGCGCTCTCCCCAAAGGCTCCGCTCCTCACACCGCCAGGTGTTGCGTTTCTTTGAACTGCATTTCAGAAGAGTGCTTGAAAAGCACCTTCCTTTTTAAGGCACTGGTGGCAAAAACAGGAGTGTTTATGCCACTAAAAATCCCACAACACAAAAATACGGCTCTGTTGTCAAAACACGGCCAGGGCTGGCAAAAATCAGACATGTTGGAGCCCATCTGCTCAGCAATCTGAGCAACTCTGCAACATAAGTCTTAGTGCATCTTCAGCACATACAGATGATGCCTTAACAGACTCAAGCCTTCAAGAAGATTGAGGGGAAGCCAAGGTCTCTGGCACATGTTTTGTTTAAAACACATTCTTTTATTTAAAAAAAATAAAGAAGAAAAAGAGATTTAATCAGCAGTCTCTCGAATAAACTCACCAACGAAGCTAGGTCAGCACGCAAGAACAGCCGCAGACCCTGAGGTGATGCTGAAACACCTCCTTTCCCCAGCAAACCTCGTCCATACCTCTGGTGCATAAAGCCCAGAGTTCAGCTCAACAGAAACACCTTGTGCTGCTTTCTATTTGCATCCCAAATATAAAGAGACTTTTTATACTACTAGTCTTCCAGCTGTGCCTTTCCCTCTACTTCTCTCGATCATACCCAGCCAGTGTACCTGCACTTGGGTTTCCTCTGAGCTTGACCTGTTCCAGCCCCTCTCCTGGCTGACCATGGGGAGAGCCCGCAGGGCAGGCTGGACTCAACTTCCCACTTCTAGAGACGTGAATCTTACTCAGGCCAGAAATCCCTTGTAGCTGTACGTCTTGTAAGGGCAAGTCCAGGCTTCCTAGCACTTCAGTCCCACGTTATCCAGTGTTAGGCATGGTCTGGTTGCTATTTGGACCTGAAGGCCAGCAATTATGTTTCAAAGGACATTAAACTCGGTTGCTCTCTGACCCTAGGGCAGATGTGGCCATCAGAGGCTGCCAGAAAGCTGGAACTACTATTTAGTTTTTCTCCTTGCAGAGTTGGGGGGGGAAAAAAAGTTACGTTGTTTTCTAAAACTATTCAGATACTTGGTCTGGAACCCAGCTAATCAAAGCAGCTTTTAAAAACAACAGGAACCAAGTTTCAGGCTCTGCCTCTCCTCTGCACCCCAGCCCACTCCCAGCACCTTCTTGAGGAGGGCGGCCTTGCCAAGCGCCCGCGGATGTGGTTGCCTACCTGCACCGAGCACCCTTCCCTTCCCGCCCTCATGCTTGGCTTTTCTCTAGATTAGGAAGTGGCTTTGTTTCCATGTTGGTAGCTTTGCTCTCTCAAGATCCTGCATTATTCAGACACTAAGACCTAGCAGAGAAGCCCACGCACTCAGCAGCGCAGCACGTACAGCCCGAGCACGGGGAGAGGGCAGGAGCTCCCCCCGTATTATCCTGCCTTTTGCTGGTCTCGGTGATCACAGACAAGAAAGATCTTATAATCCCTGTAACAACAAGTTTTCGTGTTCCGTATGATCTCCCAGCTTAAATCAGCCACCTTACACTTCTGGTTTCATTTGGAGGCTTAGTCCACGGCAGACAGCTGTGGCTAGGAACAGCTTCCCCCTTCTGGCCAAGAGCCTGAGCGGGAGCCAGCCAAGAGATCTCCTCCTGCTAGTCCTTCCACGTTGTTCAGCTCTCCACGGAGAGACCTGGGGATGGGACCAGTGGAAGCTGTAGGCTCTTTTCCTCCCGCCCCCCATCTTCATGAAAACACTAGAAACCAGGTCTACAGAGCATCAGCACTTGTACAACCGTCTTATTTCACCTTGTAGCATCCCACACCTCTGCAGGAAGGAACATTTAAAATGAACTCCTGTATCCACCTCCAAGGCACCTGGACCCATCCTCCTGCCACAGCTCTTCAGGAGCTGCGGAGCGACGTTATTTTCACAGCTGTGGGAATTCTTCGCCTTGGCCAAGAGCGAGACCCAGTGTGTTTAACTGCAAGTGGTTTCAGCAGCCCAAGCTGTATCTCAAGGCAGGCAGAGATTTGCATACGCAGCCTGCCAGCCAGACCACATCAGCAAACATACATACATGCCAACTAGACCAAAAGTGGCATCGGCGGAGACATTGTTGAGAGCTCTCTGAGAAAAGCTCTGAGATGCCATTTGGCATCTTGCTGACACAAGGGAGGTTTCCTTCCATGGGCTCATCCAGTAACTTGCAATTCAACAGTTAGGACCCTGGAGATCAGCTCCTACAGCCTGTTTAGCAGCACACCAGAACGAGTCTTCAGCACAAAAGCACCTGCGTGCCACCGAGCTGCAGCACAAACAGCCTTTGCTTGCATCGAAATAAGTTTCTTACAATAGCGCCATTAAGCAAATTATCCCAGAAGGCAGAAAAAGAAAAGCAAACCAGACCGCGCCGAACATCTACGTGAAGCATCAGCCCACCTGGATGAGCAACCAGTGACACCAAGTGAAGCAAAGCGAGCTAGCGGCAGTACTGACCGGGCTGGAGAGCTGGCTGGGGGCAGGCAGCTGCAGGCTGCAGGGCTTGGCTCGGTGTTTCCTCTGCAGCCAGAGCGTGAGGAACGCGCAGATGCGAGGAAGTTTAGGGTCCCTCTCCATTCTCCCATCCCGATCAACATCGCACAGTCCCAGTAACCGCCACCCCCGCGAGCTCCCGGGGAAGCATGGCCGGCTCCTGGGGCGCAGGGAGGCTCCCGCGGCGCTGCATGGACGCCCCACGCTTGAGGTTGCCGGATGGAGGAGATACAGGTGGTTAAAGCCCAGCTGGCAGATGCGCAATGGAGACGAGCGACTCGGTCGCACGGAGGCAGGTTCACGCTCCCACTCCCCAGCAGCAGCGCTTGTGGTTGGGGCTTTTTCTTTTTTTTCTTGTTTTGCTTTTTTAAAAAAAAAATAATCTCACAGCTCCTTGTTCACCTTTGGGTTCCCTGGTTCAGACAAGACGCTGACAGAAAACATACGTGGTCTAGTTAAAGTGACTAAAGTGTCTTCCATCTAGTGCTGCATGTGTCTCACGTCAGGCTGTGAGCTTTGGGGGTATTTCCACAACGGGGGAATATTCCGAGAAGCCACTTACTCTTTAAAAAGGAAGAGAAAAACTCATGAAACCCCACACAGGTCTGACACCACCTCGGAAAGCTGCACATCTCTTTGCTCTCTCACTGGCACAGGGACGATGGGTCACCCATGATGGGATTCAGGGTGCATCGATCCCATAAGCAAATCCTCTGGCATCGCTAGGATTTGCACCTAGTCCTTCGTTTGCTTTATGCTGCACAAGAGCCCTTGTCGTGGACACTGGAGTTATCTAAGAGCCACCCTGGGAAGTTCCATGCGAGGTATTTTTAAGGGCATTTCTGATGCAGACAGCTTCTGAACCCACTGCTGCTTGGATTTATTGGCGGGACAGAGGAGAGGTATTTAGATCGCTTGTTTTGCCTCCTTGCCCCTCCAAGCCTGTTCCCCTTTGACCTTTCCGTTGGGTCAAGCCAGACAGATGTTTTCTGCAGCAAGACCCCAGAGAGCGCAGGTAAGAAAGAAACCCCTTGAAATGAGTAAAAAGACACCCACACACCTTTGCAATTAGAAATAACCCTGTGTCAGCGTTGATTTCTGAATTTCTCCAGAGAGCGCAGAGTATGAAAAGAAGATCTTGGTTTGAACCCAGAGAGACTACTTATGACTGTCTTGCCCCCGCCGCCCCCATAACGTGCTCTTTGAGAACCGATAACGAAAGAAACAAATGACTTAATACCAGCAAGGCAGCTGGTCCCAGCTCCGCAGAGGGAACCTCGATAGCTGATGAGGTCCAAAGCAAGGGAGCTGGGAGTAGGTGCCAGAGAGCAGCACGAAACAGCACCGTGCAGCTGCTGAGCACAAGCCTCCAGGAGACTCGGTTCACACTGGCACCTCCTTCATTCTGCCACAGTCCCAGTGAAGCAGAAACCATGTTCACAACGGGCAGTCCAAAGATGAGCTTCCATCACCGCTTGCAAGGAAGCTTTACGTTGCTCAGTGAAGCCGCGCAGGTGCTGCAGCCAGCCAGCTCTCTGTGTGTGGGCCTGGCAAGATCTGATAAATCTTGTCCCGACCAAGACAATTTTGCATGTTGTGTTATCAGGCGCTTCAGCGCGGGGAGAGGAGCTTCAGAAAAGCAATCAAAAAACCCCACTGTACGTCCATGCAACTAAAACACTGGAGCGCCCGCCCCAGCATGACAAGATCAGAAAGCCACAGGAGACATAAATGACAGCACGGAAAGGGGTTTGGTGTGGGGAGGAAGGAGGAGGAGGATGAAGTCAAGTCCAGGATGTCATGTGAGCAAGTGAGTAATAGCTGTTTTCTGTATTAGCAGTCCCACCTAGCTGAGACGGGCTGGTAGGGGCGTGCTGCAAGAAAGTGTTTGGTTTTCAGAGAGGCCCTTGCAAGCACTGCTTACGTCCTCGCATACGTGGGACGACCCGTCATGGGACAAAGTGCAAATTAAATGCATGAGTCTCCTTGAGGTGCACATCTGCAGCAGGCTCTCTTACCTTGTCTGCCGAGTCCGCAAGGTCTTTCTCTATCCAAGTGATGTCTGATTTTGCCTGCGGGACAATAAATGAGCGTCAGCACAGAGGGGTTGTGATACTCCGCTAAAGTTTTCCCAACGACCTTGTTTAGCAAGAACCAGGCAAGCTGTTTACAGCCACTGGTGGTGTCCCACCAGACATCGCACCTCGGGACGCGATTCCGAGCTGTGTTGGTGGCTCCAGGAGAGCAGCTGGAGCGAGCTGCTGTTAAAGGCTTTGATAAACTCTGACAGGCAGTGGAGAAGGACGCGATGCCGGCACTTGGTTACACATGTTCCCCAAGAATCGGAGCACCACCACCAAGGAGAGAGAATTAATTTCTGGCAGGTTGATTAACGCCTAGATCAGATTTTACTCTCAGCCACACCTGGACAAACTCCAAAAGCATCTGTTCTGGTAGTGGCGTCCTGGGTCTGCAGGGAAGTTTGGCACCCCCATGGCAAAGAGAGGGCTTCTCTCCAGGGGCAGGCTCAGCGTTTCTAAAGCAACCAGGAGGAACATACTCAAATACTCAAACTCACCACATCCCTCGAGGGCAGGGCCAGCCCAGCTGCTCTGACAGGTCCCTGAGCAGCATTAGAAATGTCAGTTTATGCTGCCTCTGGGGCCAGATGCAATTCTGTGAACCCTTATAGGGAGAGGTGCAGAAGCGTTTCAAAGGAGCTCAGAAAAGAACTGCTTCTCAGCTAGGATACGGCTCCTTCTCCCCCAAAAACTCAGACTTAAGGGAAGAAGTAAGTTTTCGCAAGGTCAGTAAGTTTTTGCAAGGTCAATCCCCAAGCCTGCTGTATTTTAGCGAACGTACCCACCTAGGTATCTATCCCACCTAGGTATTCTTTCACCTGTTTTTTAGATAATGAGCTAAGTTTGAACAGAAAAATCACCCCCCAAAAACTCAAATCAGATTTGAAACATTTCCTCTGAGAGGTTCAAGTCTCTGGCTGCAGATGAGATAAAACTCATGTGACTGCAGACAGAAGGGATCTAAGAGAGGCTCGAGCTGTGACTTCTCTTGTGTCTTTTCAAGCAGTTTGTCAGCACGATGGAGCCCGCGGCGCTGGCAGGGCTCTTCGGCGCCAGCAACGTCAACCGGGTGGGTGCAGCGCGAGGCAGAGAGACCTAAAAGTAGGACAGGAGCTACGGAGAGGCGAGAGAAGAAAAAGCAAGCCTTGAGGGAAGGGAGGAGCTGCGTGGAAACAAGATTAGAGTTAAGAATTAACTGATTTTCAGCCCCGGAAGGACTGAATCAGATCGGAGGGGGCCCTTGCAGTCACCTCTTCCCCTTCCTCCCCTCCATCGCTCTGCCTTTGCTGCGGAAGCAGCCAAGATCTCTTTGGGTCTCGGAGAAGGTGTCTGTCCCGCTGCCGCTGTGGGAAGCGGATGCCCGGGGCAGCCGGCTGACACATCTACCAAAGCCACAACTAAACCCCTTCCCAAACGCTCAAAAGCGATCACAAAAACCTCAGCGGTCCCCCTCCGGGGATCATACCCACCCACAGGGAAACCAGCTCCTTCACTGCTCCGACCAGCGAGCAGGCACCGAACCCTGCCTTGGATGGGGATGGATCGATTTCTCTCCCACAAGCACGGATCTCTCTGCAGGTCCACCCTAGCAGGGCAAGACTCTGCTCCTGTGAGCTACCAGCTATCTTCTGACACCCACAGCCTCGGGGGAGGCCATTTTACACAGATTCCTGCACCACTGGGAAATATTTGCTGCTCTTGGAAAATAAAAGGACACCCCCGGCCACCGGCCAGGTCCAAGCCCAGGAGGTCGCTGAAGTCAGAGGAGGAGACAACTTCTGAACTTCCCAATGCCGCCTTCGAACTGCAGGTGGCTTAGTCATCCTAGATCAGGGGCTGGGGACGTACATACATTGTTTTTTTTTTCCCCAACACCAAGTTCAAAATACAAGTCCTCTTTCCTACTTTCCCCTTTTTTTGAGGAAGGATTTTACAAGCCAGAAGCCAAGAGACAGGTTTGTTTTTGCTCGCGTTTTGTCACTTTGCTGGTTGAGACAGTCACATCTAAATGCAAGGAAAAAAAAAACCTGCAAGAGCTAGAAACAGATTACGCTTTTGGCATTTTGCTTCCTATTCATCAACAACTAACCAGAAGCTGTTTTAATTTCTGTTGCTTCAACACATGCTCTGATCCCAAAACACTCCCAAATTCTGGCAGCACCTAGGAAAGACGCTTCTTAGAAAGCAGTTTTACCGTCAGAAATGCCTTTTCCAAAAGAAAAGTCGTTAATTAAAACTGGATAAGGTCTGGCTTTCTAAGGTCAGGGGATTCAGCAACTTCTCGTGTCCTGCAGAAGAGACAGAGCATAGTACTGTATGCAGAGCAGATATTTTATCAGCTAGACACTTGCCTCCTGGATCCTTGGCTTGCTGCGAAAGAGGAGCCTCAGCATCTCCAAAGCTTTAGGCTGCTATTCTCCCATACTTTGCAAGCTGGCTTCTGAACTTAGAGCACTCTGCAGCACCCAGACCAGCACGAGAACCCCGAGCGTAGTAGTTACGTCACTGGGATGTATTTTGGGAGTTTTCGCTGAAAGGAAACTGTGGTTTCATATGGGGAAATTGCATTGTGTGGCGATAGCTGCACAATACCAGCAGCCAAATGAAAACACTGGATGGCTTTACGGGTGCTTAGGCATGGCTCTTTCCATCAGCAAATCTCAGCAGGCTTTTCAAGAGGATCAGTGTAGTCCCCCATGTCACAGACAGGAAAACAGGCATAGAAAGAGCAATTTCAGCCACCACACGAGGCAGCAACAAGCAACTGAGAGTCTGTGTAGCTTTCTTCCCCAAAGTTAAGCTGCCCCTGCTCCGAGCAGCACAAATGCTGAGTCAGCACAAATATTCTCCCTGTAGGATCAGCTGAATTGCAGGTCTCCAGGGAAAGAGCCGGAAGGAGGCAGCTTCTGCACCCTTCCCTGGTTTGTCCCTGCCCCGTGTCGGAGTCGCTGCTTGGTCATCTGCTGTATCAGGTCTTTGGGACGCTGCTGCGAGGCCCCACGTGAGGTTTGCACACTGAGATCTTATGGGAGGGTTGCACAATCCTGCCTGCTTGCTCAGGGGGTCAGCTCCTGCACCGCGACACCCCTCTTACACATCAAGGGATGCCTTAATAGGGCCGGAGTGGGAAGGAGATGGGAATTGGCCAAGTCAGGCAGTGCAGACACGGGGAGCGGAGAGGAGAGGGAAGAAGGGCTTCAGCCCTATGGTTCTGAATCAGTTCTCTCCCAATTTCTGTGTTTGCAAGGAAACAGTGAGCCACGTGCTTACTCCCAGTTCCTGTCAAGAGGCCATCTGCATTTCATCTATGCAAAACAGATGCCCTAGATGGTTTCAAAAGTTACCCAGCTGTGTCACCAGTGTCACTGCAAGGTCCTTTGCTGTTTTACAGAATCCCTGTAGCTGTCCCCACTCCATACCTTAAAAAAGTCACAGTTCCTACTGAACTTCTTTCCAGATCCATGCAACTTTTGCGGCTGTTAAGTTGCTTAGTGCTGCCCTGGACTGCAGCATTCAAACTGCTGCCAGGCTGCAGGTGTGTCGACATGGGGCACCCTGATAGCTCTTTCCCACTCCTATAGCCTGTTTCCCAGGGGGATCACTCCCTCCTCAGTGGCAGGAGGCACAAGGGATCTCAAAACAGTTCTGCAGCAGAGAAACACAGAAGCTGGAGCTTACGTTTGGGCAGCTACAGCTCGTGCAAGGAAATAAAGCAGCTGCAGAAGGCAGGCATGCTTCAGTGTGAGACGGGACGATGCAGTCCTCTGGTTCGTGGCCTGACCTCTCTTCTGATCGATTTTCTGACCTGTGTGTTAATAATGGGCAAAAAGAACTGCATCCTCACCCCCTCCTGCCTTGCCAGGGGCCTGGCTCAGCCTACCTGCCCCTTTTTTCCCCTAGAAACAGCGCTTTGAATTCCTGAGGCTTTTCACAAGGAAGAGTCCCATCCTGAAGCCCCTCTGCTAAAACTAGAGACCATAAACTAGTCTTGGTCAGAAGCAGAAGCCATCAGCTCTTCACTTTGGATGCAGTTAACGGCCATGGAGGGAAAGGCTGCCGCAAGAGTGCAAACCTCCATTGCTTCGCTGTCTCTGCTCCCAAGAGAAGGGAACACAACCAAACGAACAGGTAACAATCCCAATATAAGGTGATCATAGAATCATAGAATCATAGAATCATTAAGGTTGGAAAAGACCTCTAAGATCATCGAGTCCAACCGTCGACCCAACACCCCCATGCCCACTAAACCATGTCCCTCAGCGCCTCATCTACACGTCTTTTAAATACCTCCAGGGATGGGGACTCCACCACTTCCCTGGGCAGCCTGTTCCAATGTTTCACCACTCTTTCAGTAAAGACATTTTTCCTCACGTCCAATCTAAACCTCCCCTGGCACAACTTGAGGCCGTTTCCTCTCGTCCTATCGCTTGTTACTTGGGAGAAGAGACCGACCCCCCCTCGCTACAACCTCCTTTCAGGGAGTTGTAGAGAGCGATGAGGTCTCCCCTCAGCCTCCTTTTCTCCAGGCTAAACAGTCCCAGTTCCCTCAGCCGCTCCTCATCAGACTTGTTCTCCAGACCCTTCACCAGCCTCGTTGCCCTTCTCTGGACACGCTCCAGCACCTCGACGTCCTTCTTGTAGTGAGGGGCCCAAAACGGAACACAGTATTCGAGGTGCGGCCTCACCAGTGCCGAGTACAGGGGGACGATCACTTCCCTGCTCCTGCTGGCCACACCATTTCTGATACAGGCCAGGATGCCATTGGCCTTCTTGGCCGCCTGGGCACACTGCCGGCTCATGTTCAGCCGGCTGTCAATCATTTATCATTTATCATTTATCATTTAGCTAAATCTAAAGCAAGAAGCATAAACCAAAGGAAACTGTGGTGCAGGCAAATGCACGCCAATAGGCAGGTTGTGGGTCTAAGGGCAAGAGACACGCTGGTTGAGCTGCAGCAAGAGCAAGAGCAAGAGCAAGAGCCTTCCTCCATC